GAATCGAACATCTCCGGGGGTCTTCTCAGCGAGAAGAACACCAATTGACGAAGAGGTTTCACTTCAACGCATAAAGGTGTCACGTGGACGACGCTCTTGCGGAAGTGATGGTTGCCGCCACCGCAGGTGGCAGCGAACTCAAACCTGCCTCGTCCCGTCCTGGAGCCACACGTGCAGCCTCCAAGATCGGGACGAGGGTGCCACAGAGTGCCCCGTCTCTGAGAGAGTAGGTCCGGTCTCAGAGGAATAGGCCAAGGAGGTGCTGTCGCGAGGAGCAAGAGTTCGGAGAACCACGTCTTGGTGGGCCAGTAGGGGGCTACCAGCAAGACCTGCTCCTCGTCCTCCTTGATCTTGCACAACACCCGTGCAAGGAGGCTCACTGGGGGGAACGCACACTTGCGTGGGCCCGTGGCCAGCTGTGCGCCAGCGCATCCGAGCCGAGAGAGCCGCGGGTCAGAGAATAACTGGGCGCAGTGGGACGAGTCCCGAGAGGCGAACAGGTCTAACTGTGCCTCCCCGAACTGGTCCCAAATCAGCTGGACCGACTGGGGATGGAGTCGCCATTCGCCGGAGATGGGACGGGCCCGGGACAGCTCGCGGCTGCCCGGTTCCGGTCTCCAGGAATGTAACTGCACGAAGGGACCTCAGGTGCTTCTGACTCCATATCAAGAGGTGGCGGGCGAGCTGCGACAACCGGCGCGAGCGTAGACCCCCCTGGTGGTTGATGTACGCTACTGCCGTAGTGTTGTCTGAGCGGACAAGCACATGCTGGCCCTAGAGCACGCTCGGAAGCGGTGCCGGGCGAGCCGTACTGCCAACAGCTCGAGGCAATTGATGTGCATGAGGCGCTGGGCTCCTGTCCAGGAACCGGCGGCTGCATGCCCATTGCACATGGCACCCCAACCCGTGGTAGACGCATCCGTGGAGACAACGAGATGCCTGGAAACTCGCTGAATAGGGACCCTGTCCGTAAAAAGCTGAGGTTCGACCACGGGAAGAAGGATCGGCGGCACGTCGGAGTCACTGGAACTCGGAGCGAGCCGCGATGCCATGCCCACTCGGGACTCGATCGCGAAGCCACAGCTGAAGCGGTCTCATATGAAGCAAACCGAGCGGCGTTGCCGCGGCCGCGGATGCCATATGCCCCAGGAGCCTCTGAAATAGTTTCAGTGGAACCGCACTCTTGCCCTCGAACTGTCGAAGACAAGCCAGCAGTGAGTGCGCGCGCTCGTTCGTGAGCTGCGCGGACATGGCGACCGAGTCTATCTCCATGCCGAGAAAAGAGATCCTCTGCACGGGGCAAAGTTTGCTCTTTTCCCGGTTGACCCGAAGGCCCAGACGGGCTAGGTGCCGTAGCACCAGGTCTCTGTGTTCGCAAACCTGAGCTCGAGAGTGTGCTAGTAACAGCCAGTCGTCGAGATAGTTCAGGATGCGAACCCCGTGTTCGCGAAGGGGAACAAGGGCTGCCTCGACGATCTTCGTGAAGACGCGAGGGGACAGAGCTAACCCGAATGGGAGAACGGCGTACTGGTATGCCTGGCCCTCGAAGGCAAACCGAAGAAACGGTCTGTGTCGAGGGAGAATGGAGACATGGAAGTACGCGTCCTTCAGGTCGATCGCTGCAAACCAATCCTGATACCGAACACATTCGAAAATGCGTTTGGCCGTGAGCATTTTGAACGGTAGTCGATGGAGAGAACGGTTCAAAATGCGCAGGTCCAGGATCGGTCGTAACCCACCGGTCTTTCTTGGGGACAATGAAGTAGGGGCTGTAAAGCCCGGACCTCACCTCGGCTGGAGGGACCGTCTCGATTGCACCCTTCGCCAGCAGGGTCGCAATCTCCGCTCTCAAGACTGGGGCATTGCCACCAACCATCGTGGAGCGAACTCCCCTGAAGCGGGGAAGAGACCGTGCGAACTGAATCGCGTAGCCGAATCCGATCGTTCTGATGACCCAGCGGGAACCCCGGGAAGCGCTAGCCAGGCTTCCAGGAAGTGAGCCAACGGGGTCATGCGAACCACAGACGTCCCCCGAGGGGCAGCGAGGCGGGTCGACCGGCATGCGTGCAGGAGTTACCCCGTCCGGATGCACCGTCGAAACCCGCTCCCCGACAGAAGAGACCAGGGAAGGCAGAGCGTTCCACGGGGGTCTGTTCTGCCGGGGTCTGGCGACAGAGGGGGAAGGGATTGGCGTAGCCCGGGGACGACACACGCACCCTTCCGCGCCCTCCGAGACAGAGAGGAATGAACGGGGCGACGCACTGGACGTCGTGCGCGCTCATTCCAGTCTGTGTGCTCAATGACAGTGTCAGCTTTTCCTCAACCAGCTCAGGGAGCTAGCTAGAACAAAAGATTCTCCACCGGCCCTCCACCGGGGAAGGAGGGGCCCTGCCACCGCCTCCTGAGAAAAACCATGACACTATCACTGAGCGGCCCGCCTCAGGAACATCGCTTCGCCTGGCATCTAGCGGGGCACGCGGCCTGAGGGGGGGCTCTTTTCTTGGGACGCTTACCTGTGGCCTCCTCCGCGACGCGAACCGGCTGAAGGCTGCTGCTGGGGCCGCGTGGGAGGGAAGGGAGCCGCAGGGGGGCGTCCCGGCGGCGAGCTGGCGGAGGCGTCCGAGCCGACGGCTGGTTGGAGGCAGCAGCTGGCCGTCGGGGCAGAGAAACCGCCTTCGTCTGCTCCTAGGCGGTCGAGAAGTGCTGGGCAAAGTCCTGGACCGCACCGCCGAACATTATGATGCTCCTGGACCACAGCGGTGGGCATCACCTGACCAAGGGAGCGAGCGACCGCCTCCGTGACCCGTTTAAGGACAAGGTAGGCGACAGGCTCGCAGCTCGCTTGGTCCGTCACCTCCTCGTGCACATTCCTGAGCAGCTAGCTTTGTAGGTGCTCATCATATGCAGGGCGGAGGCTGCCTGTCCCGCCGCTCTACAGAATCGCGCCGCCATAGACGACGAGAACCCATAGGCTTTGGAGGGGCATCTGAGAGCAACCGCCACAGACAGCCGCATCGCCGAGGGGAGGAAGGGCGGGGAACTAAGCACGCTTTTTTTTTTTTTTTTTTTATTTATTTTTTTTTTATTTATTTTTTTTTTAGTGCGTGTCAGTTCCGCATGCAACTCGGGGAAAAAAGGAAATTGGGGTTGGCCGTGGCCGTAAGGCGGCAGCGTTACCCAAAAACCAATTATTCAGCCGCGAGAGATCGGGGAGGGGCGGAGTTCCACCCCCACCCGATGCTCACGGACGCCCGAGATAGCACGGCCATCATCGCGGGATCAGACACGGCGGCGCTGACGCTCCCGAGGGAGGCAACGCGGCCGCATCCTCACTTCCCGAGGAGTCAAGCCCGCCTAGTGATGCTGTGATCGACATCGCATCATCATCTGGAGCGCTGCCCGAAGCAGCCGGTGCCACCGAAGAAGCTACCGACTGAATCGAACTAACGCTCGCTGGCTCTCGCACTGAGGCGGGAGGTGTGGCCCGAGGAATCGTCGGGGCTTATCCCACACCATCACCGTAAATCACCAGGTCCCCGGGTCGACGGGCCCCCTATGGAGGAAACCGATCGAGCGGGGGGGACCGGGACTCTCACTCAAGTGAGATCATTGAGTCTCGACCTCAGTGTAGAGATGGTCATGTTCCCACAGAAGGAAAATGAGTCATCCACGAACGCTGCTGCTGCATGCTGAAATGCCCAGGCATACAAAGCAGCGATCGTGACCATCAGATGACGACAGAAATCAATCACACCCAGAAGAGCACGGGCGAACCGTCTTTAAAAAGACGTGCGCGTGCAGCTCTTTCAATGAGAGGAGAAAATTCACTCTTTCAGCGCTGAAGCGACCAGGGAGAAGCGCAAAGTCTG